TAAAATAGAGTAGGAAGAGATGATTGAGCAAATGAAATTTAACTTTTGTCTTATTCTCTTAACAGCCTTTTTATTTTAAATGATCGAAAAAACTTTTTTGGTACAAAGTATATAGAGAAAACATTTCTCTATCCAACGGTGTTTTTGTTTCTAAAAATCTCTTCTGATAACTTTTTTACGGCCGTTTTAGTGAGATCTACTAGAAGCTGTGCCGAATCACCCCACATGGGTTGATTTGGCAATCCCACGTATTTTACTGATAAACAATAAAACCTAATGGATGTGACCGTCAGTGTATGCGAAGAGGTGAGCGACATCTTTACCCACACCCACCCTATTTTCTGTATCGAACAAGGATTTTTAATATTTGTTCTACAGTAAAATGTGTAGTTCTGCTTCTTCCTTGTCTAAAGGTTTATTGACCACATCTTATTTGAACAATTAGCTTGCAATATTTTTTCTACCAACAACTGTTACTGTTTCTATCGTCTGGAAAACAGTTCTTACACGTGTACTTGATGCGATTATCATCTGTTCATTTTGATCGTTATTTGTTCTTTTTTTGCAAAGCAACTGTTGAATATTGTCATCATCGTACATCTTATATGTGTCAATGTTGTTCATGTATGTGTGGTTGGCGTTTTTCTACTGTTCTCCAAGAAAAAGAAGGCGATGAAAAATATTTCATACGACAGTTAGTTTATACACGACCTAATAAAACAACATACAGTTTTACAATCACAAGAAAAATAAAGAGAATAACTTTTATGTGTGACTTAATTATTTTAGGTAAGTAAGGTTTTTTTGCATGTGCTAAACTTATTGTCCAAGTATCAAAAGCCATAATGCCGCCATTCTTATGTGGTTTTAATTGTTTATTGAAGTTCTTCATTTTATGCATCAGCAGATTGAAATATTGTTCGAGTTTATCGTAGTCGAATAATTGAAAATGATGAACTTGAATTAATGAAGAAAACCATTTGTGAGTTCTTTTTTTATCAACAGATGGTAACCGATCAACTACTCTTGATTTAGCTCGATTCACTTCTACATTGTTTCGGATTTAACAGGTAGATAAAGATGAAGACGAACAAATATGGATGACGCGTGTATCATTAGTAAATGAAGATGATTATTATTTGAAAGAAACATTTTCTTACATGAAAAGTACAATTGGTAATGACACTGATTCGGATTCTCTGGAAAGAACTCTATACCAGATAAATGAACACGGACAAGCACGAAAACACTGAGAGAAATGGCTTGATATTACGCGCAAGATTTTATCATCTATTCATGATGATCGAAAAATAAAATGAACAAATAGTTTGATATTTAATTGAAGAAACACAATCTAATATCCATTTACGTTATTATTATATTCACGTGCATTTATTCATGGTTTATATTTTATTTTCATGATAAAAGCATGATATTTGATAATAAAGATGGAATAGAAATGATACTTGATTAATATTTTTCTGTAAAATTGTTCTGACACTACATTTTTTTTCGACTTTTTTCTCTCATTCTTATCTAACTTTCAACTGATAATAAATAATTCGACTAAATGAAACACCTGAATCAATTCTGATTTCTAACTTGGAAATGATCTTTCGTGTAATATTGTTCATATTAAGATGCAAGACATTAGAAAAAATCTTAAACGACTAATATTGAACTCGAATCAATAAAATCAAATTCATATAAAAATTGTGAACTGTTACGAACCAATAATCTTTGTGTTTTAAGAAAGATCATTATGTCTTTTAATTATTTATATTTAATTTAATTTTTAAATCATCTCTTCTTTATGATCGATCTTTATACTTATCCATTTAGAGTGAAGTATGGGATGATAGAACTTTGTCACCCATATCTACATCCATCCGAATATTGAGAAATTCTTGGCAGTCTCATTCCTTATTCAACATTTTCTATATTTTTGAATTTTGCCAATTGTTGCATTTTGAAATTTCGTATATTCGATATTTCTGATTTTATTCTTTTGACACTTTTACTCTTCGATGTGTTGCCGTTTTTCTTTCGAATGTTGATTCTTAATCTGTGTTTAATTAGTTATTCAAAAAAAAAAAGCATTCACCAGTCATAAATTCATTGCTATGAACACTCGATCTCTGTATCATCACTGCCTCATTTCTGTTCTTCTTTTTCTTTTTAGCTCTTTCACTATTCTTTTTTTATGTTTCTTCCATCAACAGAAGAACAAACTAGACACAAACTTAATAAATTTTTAGTGTAATAGTAGAGAGAAATTTGATTTTTCTTTTAAGGTATTATTTAATTTAATACAATTAAATTTAAATCATAAATAGTATGATATTTGTATTAGATCACTTTAAGTGTATTTTCAATGGTACTTTCGTGTCTATTAAAAAATTACATTTAGAGTAGACTAAAATTCAACAATCTTTAACATGCCCTTCGATCAGTGAATTTCGTTAGAGAAATCATATGATGAATCATCCATATCTACTGACACGCGTCGAGCTATTTTATTCGATAAAAGAAAAGACAAAAACATTATGCTTTGGATCGTCTTTTTTTCCTCTCTCCCCGTTTTTTCTTTCCTATGTATACGTTCGTTAGTCAGTCAATTATATTAAACATTTCGTTTACATAGATAACCATCATCTCTCAGTGAGAATACTGCAGATGTGACCATTCTCATTTCTTTATTTTGTTTTTTATTTTTTAGAAATGCCCGAAATAGGTTCATGTACTGATATAACATGTGATGATGAACTTAAACAATTATATGAATGTCATTGTTGTTTACATCCTGTTTGTTTATATCATTTGAATGAACATGTTCAAATAACAAAACAAAATAAACAACAAACAGATGGTCTTCGTAAGGAATTAAATACAATTGTAAATACATTACAATTAATTGTTGAAGAAAAATTATCAACTATTGAACTTGAACAAAATTTAATTGAACAAGCAAAAAAAATTCTTGATATATCTAATAGTTCAATGGATGAATTAGAAAATGTTTTCGAAAAAATTAATCAAACAATAACATTAAATCGTTCAGGTAAAAACTAAATTAGATAATAGCTCTTTTTTTTTTGCAAACTTTCTTTTCTTTGTTTGTTCAAAAAAGAAAACATGGTGAAAATCGAACCATCATTATCAGAGACTACATATCGTTCTTCTATTTGTAAATCCAATAAAGAAAACATCAATCCAAAGGGTAAGATGAAATTTCTCTATAAAATATTTTGTTTTTCATTTCATTCTATTTATTCTTATTTCGATCGAACCATAGATACTGATATCTAATGAAGGAGTTATTAGAACTCATTAATCACCATTTGAACTCCTATTGACACTAGAAAGATAACGTAGTAAAATAGTCTGAAAGTTTCAGGTCAATATTTTTTGGTAAATTTGATTTTGACCAGTAGGTATGTAATACAAATCCGATATGTTGATGAATACTGTTGACCTAATATGGGTTCAAATAGTGGTAATCAGTTCATATAGTTCTCATGTAAGATAAAAAAGAAGCCTTCAAACTATAAATTTTTTGTTTGTTTAGATGTAGTAGAAGAATCGGAAATTTCAAAAGGTAAGTGACATTTTTGTTAACTTCAAAAAAAAAGAAAAGAAAAACAAACATGATTGATTTAAGATAACGAATATTCAACGGATATTACTCATGATTTTGTTGATATTATTACACTTGAGTAAGTTTCTTTTGTTTGATACAAAAAAAATATTTGAAATTGATTGCAATATTTTTCTTTCTTTTAGTGAAACAGATGAATCTATTCAGGTAAATATAATTTATTGTTTTTAACGGATGTTAGTTAAAAAGAAACAATAATAAACTATGTTTTAAATAGTGTTATTATATAAATACAAAATTAATATCCGAATCGACAGATTGAATTCAGTTGTTATTCAATAGAGTTTCTACAAATTGGATTAGTTTGTATTTGATTCATCTCGCAGCTAGGTACTTGATATAATCGTGTACATATTCTATGTATTCCGACTAGTCTAAGCTTTTTGGATAGTAAGAGAACTATTCGTATCTTACGGATTTGCTCTTCGAGATAATTAAGCACAATACTATTTTACTATTAAAATCATACTTCATTATCCTTCGTAATCTTGTTCTATTTTTTTTTGTATTTAAGTGTACATTATATAAGATACTTATTATAAAATCGGTTCGTTGTTCTTTATATACATTTAAATTAGTCTTATTTTCTAAGAAATGAATTCTATATGTTATTTAAATATTTATGTTTTTTTTTTCAGGATGAGCATGTAAATGAAGAACCAAAAAAACGTAAACTAAAATCATACACAAGTATTTATGATAAATGTCCATTAACATTTGATGGAGCATATGGTCTTACTAATGCAAATCATTCTATTGAATTTTGTAAGCATGGAAAAACTCGTCGAATGCAATTATACTTCCACCTCTTGCACAAACATCAATTAAAAAAAGTTTATATTCAACGTTTGATACAAGCTATTGCCGAAAATAAAGATCCTAGAATAACAAAATTATTTGATAAAAATGAAGATGTAATTGATCATTTTTATAAAATTTCATGCCCTTTTTTTCATGGACGAGTTAATTCATTAAAATATAGTGGACAAAATGTAACCATTTCACCTTGTCAACGTCCTTTTATTGTATTTCATAAATTAGCATATCATTTACAACATGGTCATAAGATTTCTAAAGAATTGGCACAAAAATTAGTTGAAGATTTAAAAAAAAATCGAACAAAATATGATATGGCTTTGGCTCCTTTAATTTCATCAACATGATCAAAAAAAAACAGAAAAATCTTTAAATTGTTTTTATTGATGTTTGTCTATCATTTCTTTTTCTTGTTTATAAAAATAAAGAATTCAATAATGTGAAATAGATATTGAGGTTATTCTTTGTTATTAGTGTTTGATTAGATTTTTTCATTTCAAGCAAACGACTCGAATTATAAGGATCCAACGAGAAAAAATACGAAATTATTGGAGACTTTGCATCCTCATGATATGACCATGGATAAATCTCAATAGGGCTAAGTTAAACTTGAAAGTGTTAGGATGTGAGTATGGGTATTTGTCTTCTTTTCACAGCCACACTCACAGCTACACCACACCCCATATCCATCCACACCCTCATTTGATCTCTGTTTACCAGAACTTGGGTAAATTCTACCAAGATTTATCTTGTCATGATAGAAGAAATTTATTGTATAATGAATTATTGAAATCAGTGTAAACTATTTCTCATATCTAATAAACCGAAAATTATTAGATTGACTTTGCTCTATATCATCGCTAGATGAATGATGGTTACCTTGGACTTGTTCTCTGTCCAAATGAATTATGAATGAAACAATCAAGAAAAAATAGTTCAACTCAATGCATGTCGTTTTCAAAAGGTTAATCATGTATCACTTCTGTTCGATGATTGTGTTGTTCCTATTTTCTTCTACTTGTCGTCGATTTCGCCGTAGAAGAAATTGTTTTGTAGCTTGTTGATAGATAAAATTGCAGAATTCGACAAAACTCAATATACTGAGACCAATCCACCTGTAACATATTAATCATACCTTCAGAAAATCATGATGAATTCAAAAAATACACTTACAGGCCAGTTTGACCACCAATAGCAGAAAATGTATCGACAATGGACAATTTTGGCTCTTGTCTTTTGATTGTGACATATTCACTTGCGCAGGTAATAGTCATCCGGAGATAGTTTGCATTCATATATTCATCGAAATTCTCATGAAAATCAGTCGGTAAGGCTAAATTTAAAGTATTATTTAGTAGCACTTCTGCCAACATTGCTTTTTCTGCAGGTGTAGGTGCTGCCAGACTACTAATTTCAGTAGAAAAATGAGTATGTGTACATTGTGGAGGACATCGAAAACACCAAGCAGCAACTAAAGCAGGATTCCTAAGAAACTCTTGTCGTACGATGAATGCACATGTCTCTTCGGATGATAATGGCGAACAAAAATTGGCAAAGACAGGTTGATCATGTTCGAGAGTAAAGACGTGTCGTATGAAAAAAGGAACAGGAATGATGCAAGAACATTTTGAAAAGATAAATGATTGTTCACATAGTGCACGACATACAGCTTCAGAGTAAGCAGTTTGATGAATTGCTTTGGACTCAAATATTGTCTCATATACAAGGCGCAGATCGCTTCCAACACTTGAAGTGCAATTTGTATATGGTTTGGGAAGGAAAATTGTTTGACTTTTTCTATAGGTAATCCAATGGGCAAGACCAGGTCGTAGTCTTATTCCGTTTTTGGCAATGAAGGGAAGTTCATCATTGTCATGGATTGACACGACTAACCCATCAGGGTACTCTGCCATTGGAAAATTGAGATGTCGTGGCACGTAGAATGTCATTGATAAGCCTTCAAATGGTGAAATTCCTGAGCCAACATCAGCCAACGTAAATAATTTCTTCGTGGTTATTTTCCAATTGAACGTATAACAGTAGTGAAAGGCTAATGAGAAAGAACGAACAAAATACGATGAACAATTAATGTGATTATATGAACATTCAATAAGTGTATCTGATAGTTGAAAGCCAATATTAAGGTATTGATCAGATTCATTTCGATTGAATAAATTCACAAGCATAGAAGTAACTAATGACCAACGATTATTTTCAGTTAGATTAATGCCATGTCGTTGAACGTAGGCAAGTAATGTTTCATTTATACGATCTGCTCGAAATGGATTAGCATTGCAAATAGTTACGGCTGGAAATGGCATATTCGGCATTGATATAATTTCTACACTAGTCTGTGTCGGATAGACAAAATACTGACTTACTGCCCAAACCACAAAAAAGAGCATCCAGCCAAATGCTATCAAGAACGCAATGATCCAAAAGATCCGATGAGATTTTGTGTTCGCTTCAGCTATATTACGCAGACCATGGGTAGAGGTAGTGAGGAAATAATTGGTGAGAAGCGTTCGAGAATGTTGGTTAACAAATGGAGGAGATTTTAATTCTCGATTTTCGTCCTGCATCTAATTATTTCTATGAACAAACATAGCTCTAACAAAAAAGAACATTTCTCACCATCTAACTCACCTTTTAAATAGCAATACAGTATTCTATGAAAATTTTTCCTTAATCCACAAATAAATTTCTATCGTCAGCAGTATGTTAGTTGCATTAATTTGTTGAACGTGTTGTTAGAAGATATTGTCAATCAATAATCAGAATGTGACATAAATAGAAAAAGATAAGAGATCATGTTTTTTGTTCGTGAAAGAATCACATACTGTTAATATTAAACGATATTTTATCTGATGCTATATCATCTGTCAAACATAAAGCTAAACAAATTCATGAGAGAAAAAGAAAAATTCATTTCAGAACGAACAATACCTTTGTGTATGATCAAAATCTCATTAGTCCAATTATGAAACAATCTCATGGCAACGATTATCATTGAGTCATTTTGATAAAACTATGAAAATAAATGATGAACTCATTCAAAAAGATTCGAATTTACTTCTTAACACGGTTATATAACTCCAATTTTTGATAGCATTAATGAGCAATATAAAAATACTACGATTACAATGATAAAACTATTTGAGAAGATTATTCATAGTTTCTTATTTGCTTCATGCAATATACTGGAATCATATTCCGATGATTTCTCAGTTAATCAATTTTCTTCATTCTATGAATCACATATACAATCAATCTCTGTTTCTTCTTATATTTTTCATCTGGTGTTTCACCTTTACTAGAAGGTTCTTCGTATTGTACTATAAAAGCAAATGATTTTCTCTTTTGCAGAACAGATGAATCTTTTTTGTCGATCATATATAAATACATGGAGAAGATGAACAGGTCTTTTTTTCTCGACGCATGTTGTTCAGCAAACAAATAGTGATGAATTTTATCTTACTAACTGATTGTTATTTTGACTTAAAAAATATTTAAAAATTCTTAGGAGAATATTTTACTAAATTATTTTTTCTATATAAAATCATTTTCGAGCACAGATAATATGGACACTGTAAAAGAAAATATTTTCGAAATACGATGTTCGTATAATGGTTTGCTCGATTTCGAGTGAACGGTATGTATGCTCTTCGCCGAAAAACGCAAAATCGAAAGTATTTTTTGGCCACGGAGGACACTGCAAAGGTGAGGGTAAGGGCAAAATAAATTGATCTTGTCATGCTTAACAAGTCTATGCAGGAATTAACGAGCTCGCAACAGTCTACAGCATTCTCCAGTCTTTCGATAAAATGCTTTTCGGCGAAGAGGCACACAACCAATAATCGATTTCTGAAAAGCAAATGTGTGGTGCAAGCAAATTGTATTTGTCTCTTCTTCAAGATAGATAGGTCAATCTGTTTTTCGCTTGACAAGTTTTGCTACGCACATCGATGAAATATGTTTAGTGAGTCATTCTGTGTAAGTCGATTTTACTTGCTTTTTGTCAGTACCTGTGTTCTTTGAAATACAGCTCGTGACTAGTGAGATTCGAGAAATCTTTTATTTTGAAATAGATAGTAGCTATTAAAAAAATAACAAGTGAAAATGCAAAATTTGAAATATGATAGTGAAAAACTAAATTTGAGAATAATATAATAGTACGGAATGTTTTTAGGCTGTTGAAATCTTTGATATTGTTTCTTGAATGAAAGCGAGTTGCGAGTTGTTTTGTGCCTCCTAAACAGAATAAATAATATATGTAAACAAATGGAAAGTACAGCGAATTTTTTTTCACAATCAGTCGACATTCAATGGATGAATTATCACCGATATGGCTGATATTTTCAAAACCTACCTGATGAGTTAAGTGGTTCGTTCGGGAATATTGGTGATGCGATGAAGAAGATATGGTAGCACACCGCTTATTCAGCATTAGCTATGGAGAGAATACTTGACATCACTCTATCACTAGACGACTTTGTTCACATACATGCCAACGTCTAGAATGGTGATGGTCACATAAAAATCGAATTATTCTAATTATGTCTCTGTTGCATTATTTCGTTCAACTCTAATCGAAGATCTACATGAATGACATCGTCTCATATGATATAACAACAGAACAGATGTAATGATGAGGTCGTTCCATTATTTCCGGCAGCTACAAGACAAGTTCTGCATGTAATACACCACACAGCATCATAGTTAAAAATGAATAGTAGGCATAACAGTTTTGTTCAATTATTTTGCTCGACTGGAGTGGAACACTCCCACATAGAATACCACTGAAGTTTCCATGAGCAGCTGATCATTTTAACAAGAGCCTTATTCAATTATTGTCTCACATTGTAAACAAAGATCATCAATTCGAGATAACACAAAAAGTCATACGACAAATGATAAATCTAACAAGTAGGTCATCCAGTTATGTTGCATTCTCACAAGACAACGTCGGAGGCCTACGACATGATCGAATTTCACATTAGAAATACATTATTCTAAGCACGATATTGTTCAACTATATCGTACACTACGTAGGAGAGATGTGCAGCGTCAAACGTGAACGAAAGTTACATTTGAAATGACTAGTTACAAAGAGGATTCTATTCAACCCTATTTATCACTCCGAACACAGCATCTGCCGTTTGAGAAACGTCCAAACGTGACAACTCTGACGAATGACTATGACAATCCCAATATTCAAATCTTTTGATTATTTCACGGAAAAGCTGCGTACTCCATGACATTCGTGAAGACTACAAGACAAATCAATAACTTTGACAAGAGTTTCATTCAGAAATTTGACTCTCTCCGAGCGACAAGATGATACACGATAAATTAATTGGAATTATAATGAAAAGCGAAAACTTTACATCACGAATCAGTTCCACAATTACATGCAGATCGGAATCAATGATATGAATCCCAATCTTGATAGGAAATCGTTTCATTCTAGGATAATACAAAACAACATTCTATAGGAATATGCCATTCACACCGAATAGAAGGATCAAAGTTCTTCACCTGATCGGATGTGGGTGGGTGTGGGTGTGAATGTGAGTGTTGATTTCAAGTATGGTCACACCCACACCCACACCCGATACCTTTGCGAATAATGTATATAACTTCTGAACCGTAAAAGATACAGACCTGGGATTAGTCTAGAATTATAGATCTCGATCCGGGCTATTCGTTTCGCTATTTGAAAATCAAAATTGACCATGTGCTCAGGAAATGGTAATCTTGCCAAATTTGCATTCGAGGCTTTATCATGGTAAACCTTACTTGTAGGCTCGGTTATTTCATAGTAATACGTACCATGCTGTGCTCTATCCAACAATGAAAACCGCAGCTCTCTATCATTTTCCTCTCAAGAGTTATAAGAATTTTGCCTAAGCGATTTATTTTCAAAAATGGATAATAGTTGCCTTTTCAAGTCAAAAAATGCAAAAAATTGAAAAAATCGTAAAGTCGAAAAAATGTGTATGTCGCAAGAAAAAACTTGTAGCTCCTAAGTCAGAAGAGCTAGAGTCTTGATTTCTTTTTCATCTAAAACTATAACTAAAACTGATCTAGGAAACATGTTTTCTAATTATAGAACTCTACTTTTATTGAGCCAAAATTAAAGGTTATTCTAGTTATGGAAATAATGCATCTCCTTGTGTGCCAAAAATTTCGACCCTCTCCAGAGTAATGTTAGAGTCAATCTTTTTTGCATGGCTAGATTTGCCATGACTTTTAGATAAAAGTTACATATTATTTTCCCTTAGCTCTCTTTCTTTGTTGAGATACGGCCACAGTATCAAAAACCTAATAATGACTATGAAAAATGATGTCCATGTTCGACTGTTTGACCACCAAAAGTTGATTTTCTAGCAAAACTCATGTCATATTCGGAATCAGCGCCAAAATCTTAGTAGAATAACATGTATTTTGTTAAAAATAAATTTTCGTCAAAAACCCACTTGTGGGGGAACCACAGACGAAAATCATACAGAAAACAGCTGAGGAGGACTACGGTTAATTTTTTGATGCTGATTCCGAATATGACATGGGTTTTGCTAGAAAATCAACTTTTGGTGGTCAAACAGTCGAACATGGACATCATTTTTCATAGTCATTATTAAGTTTTTGATACTGTGCCCGTAACTCAGCAAAGAAAGAGAGTTAAGGGAAAATAATATGTAACTTTCATCTAGGAGTCATGGTGAATCTAGCCATGCAAAAAGAGGTACATTATTTCCATAACTAGAATAATCTTTAATTTTGGTCCACTAAAAGTAGAGTTCTATAATTAGAAAACATGTTTCCGAAATCAGTTTTAGTTGTAGTTTTAGGAGAAAAAGAAATCAAGACACTAGCTCTTCTGGTTTAGGAGCTAGAAATTTTTTTTCCTGTGACATACTCATTTTTTCGACTTTACGATTTTTTCAGTTTTTTGCACTTTTTGTCCTGAAAAGGCAACTAATTCTGGTTGAATCATACGTATTCAGATTCAGCATACCAAATTGCATCTACCTGTGCAAAAAAATCGAAAAAATTAAAAGTACTGAAATTTTGAATTTCCGAAATCTTACGACATTCTATTTGCCTACAGCATACAGTGATTTTTTTTAGAGAACATGTCTCCAATGAAACATTTTTTTCGTCTTGATGCGTACAATCTTTGCGCTTTAGACACACATGAAACGTGATTCAGACACGCATTAATACAAAAAAATATTTACCTTGGTCTACAAGAAAAAAATATATATTGATAGCTAATGTAAAGATTATATCTCATAAATGATAAACAAGAAATATTTTCTCTAATTATACTTTCGCTGTCGTGCTTCGTTTTTTTTATCAATAACTATACGCTTCCAACCGTATATACATTTTTTTTTCGTTCTTTCTCTTCGCTGTTCCCGTCAGCATTATACGCAACGAACACGCTTCTATTAAAAATGTTTTCAAGCATATCATCTTGATACTTCGCTAGGTTCCCACGCCGTCAGTTGATTACACTGTATCTTATAAATGTAAAACATTCTCTCTACAGAAAAAGAAAAACGAGAGTTACCGACTTGCAAAAGACGCGTTCAGTTTCGGTGAGTTATGAATTCTTCACGATTTCAGAGCTCTCGAAACTCACAAAATTTTGCGAATTTATCGAACTAACGATACTCAGGTAGCTTACAGAACTGAGACAACTTATAGACAACAAAATCCCAGAACAAAAAAGTGCTCAGAACTAAAGGCATTCATGGACTGCAGGAAACTTCTGGATTTCTGAGAGTTCACGGCGCTAATGGAACTTCTCGAACCCAAGAACCTCACAAAGCTCTCAGAAATCACAAAGCCATAGCGACTTTTATAACCTTCAGAATTCATCCAACTCATGGAACTGAAGAAACTTATTGAACACATTGAACTAGAGGTATGGGTGATGATGTGTGAGAATTTTCCTTCTCTATTTTTTAAAACGATACTGATGATTGATAGAAATTAAAGAAACTTTTTTCTTGAACTGTCTTATCTCATATTATAACTTTTTTATCGTTAGTAGTTTCAATATTCGTCTTCAAATAAAGATGGCAATATATTTATTTAAATTGATTCTTGCATATTTATTATTAGATTAATTCTTATTGATGGCGCCTATAAATATCAATAGATTCAAAACATTATTTCTACCACATGGTCTCATATATACTATTTTAGCTTTAATAATCGTGTGTCTTACTGTTTTAACAATCGTCTATGCTAGTTTATGGCATAATACTAAAAGTTCTTCATATACTTTTGTAATTGCAAATGGAATTATTGGTTATCCTATTCGTTTACCTAATGATGGTCGATATGTTCAATGGAATTTCTTACAAATGAATGATGTTTATGAATTATTACCACAAGATAAAGGACGAAAAGGTGGTTTAGCTCGTGTTGCTTATATACAACAATTATTAAAAGAAGAAAATCCATATACTTATACAATTCTTGCTGGTGATCTACTTTCTCCATCAGCTTTAAGTTTATCAAGAATTAATGGAACAACTTTAAATGGAAAACAAATGATAGCAACAATGAATACTCTTGGACTTGATTTTATAACATTTGGAAATCATGAATTTGATTTATCTGAAATTGATTTACTTACACGAATGAATGAATCAAAATTTATTTGGATTGGTACAAATATATTTCGTCAAGATAATAATCAAACATTTGGATCAAGTATTTCTCATAAAATCATTACTATTGATACTGTTCGAATTCTTTTTATTGGTTTAACACTTGATGGAACTGGTAGTTATGTTCGAATTATCAATCAATCATCATTAGTTAATTATGTTCAAACATTTTTAAAATTATTTTCAAATAAAACATATGATGTACTTGTTGCTATTACGCATTTAGATATAGCAATAGATATTGAACTTGCTTTAAATATTCCACAAATTGATCTTATTATTGGTGGACATGAACATGAAAATTATTATTATCTAAGAGGAAAAAAATATACACCAATTTGTAAAGCCGATCCAAATGCTTTTACTGTTTATATACATCGTTGTGCTTATAATTTAGATACAAAACGTTTTCGTATTTATAGTAATTTAGCACAAGTAACATCTGAAGTACCAGAAGAAGAAAATACAGCAACAGTAGCAAATTATTGGTTTAATTTAGGTATTCAAGGATTTCAAGTATTAGGTTATGAACCAAATACAATTGTATCATGTCTACCAAATGATATTGAATTAGATGGTAGATTTCAATCTGTTTTAAATTTTACAACACTTTTAACTGCTTCAATCTGTGAAAGTTTATTACAATTAACAATAACAAATAGAACAATTATTGGAATTATTAATGGAGGAACAGTACGTATTGATGATATTCTTCGTGAAACAATTACACAATATGATATTTTACGTGCATTACCTTATGGAAATATTGTTGTTGCTCTTTCTGTTCCTGGTCAATTACTTGCTCAAGTTCTTACTACTGGTATATCTTTAAAAGGAAATGGAATGTTTATTGCTTATACTAGAATAGAAACATTAGATGATGGTAAAACATGGTTATTCAATGGAACAGATATATCAAAAAGTGGTCTTTATTATAATATAGCAACAACAGTATATGTACGAGATAATACACAATTAAATAATTCAAATGTAACTACTTTATATAATACTAATATAACACAGACAAGAAGTTTAATGGAATATTTAAAAGTTAAATATCCTCCTTGTTAGATTAGAGAGAAAAATAGATTTAATATTTAATAGTGGAATAAAAAGTATCTGTAAACTTATTTTGTTTGAGAGATGTTTTTTTTTTGTTACATTCAAATATCAAGAAAATTATTTTCGTAACAAAAAGTCGTAAAATATTTGAATTAAACTGATAATACAAAGAAACGAAATAATATATCATCATTTACTAATAAAATATAATTGGATGAATGAAACAATCATATTAGAAGAAAGATTTTATATGTAGACTCTTTTTTTGTATACCATGTGTTTACATCATTTAATTAACTATTTGTGTTTTGATTTATAAATAAAATTTTGCTACAATAAATTTATAATTGTGCAACATTTCGATGAAATCGTGCTAGTAGTATAGCTTTTTCTTTTTGTTTTCATCGAAAAATTTACTCCTGCTTCTCCTCGCAGGCATTAACAAAATGAATTACATCTAAAAGACATTTTGCGACTATAAAAAAATAACTTTGAAAGCTGTTTAAATTATTTATTAGATTTCAATATAGCAAATATCTAAGTAACAAAAGAAACATTTTGTTGCTGGAACAGTATTATTATAGAATCACAGCTCATTCTCAAAAGAGATACAACTTCTATACAGAGAAAGTTGTTAAAGGTAATGAACAGAGATGTATGAGAGAATATAAAAACGACTGAAATTGAATATGAACGCTTTAAAAATGGTTTAAAAGAAAATAAGTTTCCATATTGAGCAGTCAAGAACAAAAGAAAAACGTTCAATTGTAATAAATTCATACTAGCCATTGATTTATAAAATAATGGTTTATTCAAAAAGCTGTATTTTACACCTAAAAGTGTTAAGTAATACTTACTGTGAACATCTATTTAAAGAATTTCACTTATCCCACATGCATAGAATGGAGAAAGACAGATAATATTCTGTGAAAAAAAAGGGAGACAATCGTTGGTATTTTTTCTAAAGAATAATATTTGTTACTAGTAACATTTAACCTTCTCAATAGCTAAATAGTTAAGAAAAAGAAAATTAAATTTTTTGGTCGCACTTATTTAAGTCAATTGCTGATGTTGAGGCTTGAATAGTATAGAATAAAATTCTTTCACGATGAAATGTACCACTACTGTAGTTATCAGTCTCATAATAACTTCAATGAGTATGATTGTCTGCGAAAAAACAGTTTGAAGAAAAATGATAGCTGCGTACACTGTGTTTCTGTGCCAGTACTTTGGAAAATACATTTAGATCTTTTTATAAAAAGAGATACATTCTCATATTTAAAATGAACGCTACACAGAACAAACTTCGACATGTATACTTGAAGATATGTTTTCTTTAATTAAGAATGTACTACTTTGTGACAAAAACGTTTTTGAATTTCTAGAAAAAATGCACAAATGAAGAGACCTTTTAATTAATACACAATAGAATTTTACCAAATGTATTCCTATTTCAGAAACATCTCTTCATATATAACCCTCAAAAATGTGCACTGCGCTAATTAGATCCTATAACCATGGGAACGACTTATTTGTATAGACAACCTAAAGAATTTTTTTCAGATTATGCTGCAAAAGAGTATTGAAGTGACTCCATAACATACTTTCAATAAACTGTTGTTTCCTATTAGCTGTTTTTCAAGACTTTTCTAACTCAGAACTGATACGTTGCTACGATGACCGAAGCAAACTATTGTCCATACCGAACGTAGATACTATTATGGATATAAATATAAATCAAAATCGATTCTCAAAACGGGCATCTAAGATGTCTTCTTCTTCATTTATCCAAGGAAGAGGGATGGTCTTCTAATGTTTTGAAGGTTTTAGCTGTATACTTTTTTGAATATTTATTGACTCTTTTAAATAGCTATGATAATGTTTTAATAGCGTCGGTTTTCAAATAGCTAGTTACATGAAAAAAAAACCTAAGTGAACTATTGTTACAAATGAATCAGCTATTTAAATAATTAAATAGTTGTATATTATTTGTCAAAAAAATCTTTTTTGAAAAGCTACGATAGTTAACAATGATTCTATTCCAATGAAAATACTCCTCAAGCAAGTACGACTTATCAACATGTGTACTCTGACGAGTACTATATGTAATACTCACGTTCATTTTTGTGCAGAATATTTAGCAAAATTTATTCTTTATTCTCTGTTGATGAGTCATTTATATGATTTTATTGAATGCTGACTTCAAGAAAAACGACTTTACATCTTAAGCTACTAACTTATCAAGTAACATTAAATATTTGTTTGAATATATTAATAGAGATTCGTTGAAATTTAATATCCTAAATTTAGATGTAAAATTCTATATTAAAATACAGATTTTCAGATTAAATATAAAATACAATGCAACAAAACAAACTAATAACTCTTGTTACAAGTCGATTGCAATGTAAAATCATGAAAACATGTTAAAAATGTCTACTTAACCTTTTTATGTAGTAATCAACACTACCTGTGGATGTGGGTGCAGTTCTTCTTTAACTAACACCCACGCCCAAATTTACTAGGATTAACAACAATATTGATGAATAAAAGCATGATGGAGTTTAGTTTTTCTACAACAGAAAACTCGATTCATAATTCACTGAACTGAAGACAGATAAAAAGTTGGATTTTTTTCTTAATTGCGAGAATTTTTTCCTGGTAATTAAGAAAAAATGTCCACAAAGCAGAATCAGAATGGAAATTAAACTGATTGCAAATACGGAAATATTTGCAGTATACAATTAAGACACTAATTTATTATATAAAAAAAAAAAACGAAACATCATAAACGAAAGAAAAATGAATATTTAACTTTGTTTAGGATATGGATAGATGGTCTTGAAAATAAACATTCATATTATTATGAGACTTTTACATTTACTCACAGAAAATATATGAATGATTTGTTTCAATAATAAAATCATTCTATCATGATATTACAACCTATCAAAATAGTATTTATGTCTATTAGGCGTTATTTCAATGAATAATTGAATAGCTAACTACAATAGTTATCACAGACAATGCCTTCTTCAATTGCAAAAAATTGAATGTTTAATTGTGTTTAAGAAAACAAATAGTTGAAATATATTAAATCTTATTGAAAAATACAGATTAGTGAATTAATGATTAACGACGTAAAGCTAGTTCAAGAAAACAGAACAAAAATCCATAGTTTAGCTTGAATTTTTGCGTATTAACACAAATATTAAAATAATTTTAATAGATGTATTTTACATAGTCGAATGCTAAACTACTTAGGTTTAGACGTCGGTTCTTTTTACATACTTAAGATAAAAAAAAAATAATATAACAGAATAAAAAACACTATCTGACAAAAATTATTTTCAGATGATTTTCAATGAAGTAATTTCTTATTAATAATAGCAATTGAATTCAATAGATTTTGAATAATAATATAGATATTACTTTTTAAATATATGTCCTCAATCTTTGTCTAATTTTAGACTTTGGAAAACTATAAAAATTGAAATGGATTAGAAATTAATAAAACATCGTATATATAATCAAACATGCTGATAATATTTAACTAATGCTATTTGCTTCTCCTTTATCTCTGCTAACATAAACAGAAGAATCAAACAATGAAAATTCTATTTTGCTCTAAACAATAAATAGACAGATAAAAGCTTGACATAATTGATCATGTTCGATCGCTTCATATATATCCGTGTTGTATATGTTTTGAGTAAAAAATAAAAACTGACCTATACGAAGTTGCTCGCATGAGAATATCGATCTATCAACTAGATCAGCTGTTAATAGACTATATGAAGGAAAAACGCAATTAGTTAAAAAAAAAAAGAGATAAGTGACACTATCATCTATCAAATATATGACTGATTGAGTTAATCACGAAAATGAACAAGATAATTGACTGACATAATACAAGGATAACAAGATTAAACTTCGCTTGTCTATGTGGAAATTTGTTTTTTTATCGAATATGTTGTAGAACTCTTCCGTGATTCATAAGAAAAAAAAGAAAGTTACTATGCATTTGATTAAATAAAAATTTCATTCTGTATGAAGTATGTGGATTTATTTCTTGAAGTAATTACGTTTTAGTCGTTTCTATTCAGTCAAAACAAGCTTTTTTTCTTTTTTCGAAGTGATTCATACGTTTAATTACTTTTTCGTTTGAGTTTCGTCAGTTATTTATAAATGCAAGTTAGAAATATCCAATCACATAATTGTCTCTATTAATCATGCTCATTAATGTGAAACACACCGAAATTATCGGATACAATTAATATTCAGCGTATAATATAATTATAGGATCCCTTATCTATACATACAAAAATATTTCTTTCATTTCAACAACGAATCATACTGACATCCTACAGACATGTTTATGTGAGACTACGCAAATACTGACTAATAACCTTTTCATTCTCTTTTTATTTGAAAAAGAAACTAGAGAAAATTACAAAATGATTGTAACATAATGGAAGCTGTTTTCTCGTTCCACTTTGCGAAGAATATATTTTTTTCTTCTTTTGTAGGGTATTACACCCTCATTTTTAACATTTTATTGCAATATTCACTGTTTTTCTATTTTTTCCATATTATTTGAGGATTTATTAGGGATGCTTTACTTCGAAATCTCAAGATTTAAGACATTTTCTAAGCTTTCATCAAGTGATTACCATATTTGGTCAAGAAATGATTCTTTCATGATCTCTATTCATTTAAAAACTAAGGAAGTGTATATTTTTTCTAGGAATAGCATCATGAGAATCGAAATTATACAATAAGAAGTGAAAAAGGAAAGAATTTGACTTGATAAGACGAGCAAACTCTCTTATTCTGTAAGAAATCTTCCAGAAAACTTTGAATTAGAAGTGTAATTTTAATGCATGACTACTAGTAAAGGTTAATAGAATACACACAACATTGACTAATGACAACAGCTAAGCAAAATTGGCTGTATGTATTCTTCTGGATGGTTGAGCAAAATTCGTCTCTGATGCTTTCGCTGAGGAATCGACAAAGTAGTTTTTTTTTAATCTCTGTTTTCAATTAGTTGTTATCCCATTAATCAATGTCGTGTATATTCGATTAACTTTTACTAGAAGTCATACATTAAAATTACACTTCTAATTCAAAGTATTCTGAAAGATTTCTTACAGAATAAAAGAGTTTCCGAGTCGTATCAAGTCAAATTCTTTCCTTTTTCGCTTCTTATTGTACAATTTAGATTCTTATGATGCTATTCCTAGAAACCATATCCACTTCTAGAGTCTCTAAATGTATAGGGATCATGAAAGAATCATCTCTTGATCAAATATGGTAATCGCTTGACGAAAGCTTAGAAAATATCTTAAATCTTGAGATTTCGAAGTAAAGCATCCCTAGTAAATTCTCAAACAATATGGAAAAAATAGAAAAACAGTGAATATTGCAATAAAATGTTAAAAATGACGGTTTAATACTCTACAAAAGAAGAAAAAAATATGTTCTTCGCAAAGTGATATAGAGAGACAGCTACAATTATGTTACAATCATTTTGTAATTTTCTCTAATTTTTTCTTCAAATAAAAAGAGAATGAAAAGGTTATTAGTCAGTATGATTCGTTATTGAAATGAAAGAAACATTTTGTATATATAGATAAGGGAATCTATAATTATGTTATATTCTGTATCATAATTAATATTTCTATCGAATCGTGTCATAAATGACAAAGGTTTATTATTCGTACAAGTTACAAATTCATAATTACATAATAGCTAGTAGAATAAAGAATGGTACTTTACATTTATTTTACTAATAACTTGTTCACTTCCATTTATCTGTTCACTAGTAAGTAGATAAATAGAAGTTTTAAAATCACCATCAAACAGGTAACGTCTAATGACTGAGTTACAAGTAAATAGCTAAGTTTGGAGATACTTTATTACCATTAATATAAAATTAAAGTAAATATGTCACTCCTAATCAAAAGTTCGATCGATGTAGACATTATAATATCTACCTGAAGGATCAACGATTTATTTTGATAGATTAATTCGCCCGAAACGACATTATGTATAAAATCTTATTCATCAGTATGCATCACTTTTTTTTTTATTAAGACTGATTAAGAAGAATGTAAGTATGACTACATGTAACATTAAAAACACACGAGTTTTGTCGATAAATATATTGTTCAAACACAATAGGTAAACAATTTTATAAATGAGTACAATAATTCAAAAAAAAAATTTCCAAAACGACCATCCGAACATACTAATAAGTACCTTTTCCTTAGAAAAAAAACATTTCATTCAGTGACTCAATTAATCACACTAGTGTATATTGTCTCTCCTAGTTTCCTCTTTTCGATCATTCATTATTCTACTCTTGATATAGTTACTTAGAATTTTAAAAAAAAATCTATCTCATTACCAAAATCAAGTGTTACTGGAGTCTCGTCTGTATATATCATCTATCATAAAGAGTAGAATACTTTGCAAGCAGCAATAATGAAATCCAGTCAAATTGAAACTTTCGTACTATTTACATTGTTCGAAAAATTTTGACGTTCCCCTTTAAGAACTAAAGAAAATAATGAAAAGATAGTACGATGGTAAGTTTAAAAAAGTAGCAAATTATCTTTTTGATCTGCTTTCATTGATAATGATAAGCTATTTATTGAAGAATTACTTACTTTAATAACTTCTATCGTGTTTAAATTTTAGTATAATTTGTTTTCTATTAAATTCAATTCAACCATTCTATCTACAATAATGATGTTATTATTGTGGAATTTACGATGGTTGATTTTACTATTTATATTCAGGCAACTTAATGGACAAGATATAAGAGAAACTTGGCCTTTATTAAACTCATCCACTATAAAACTATTAGGCCTTTTTCAAGATGAAGTAGACTCATATGGATCTCTCGAATTCTCTAGTCATTGTCGCGCTATGTTTAAAGCAGCAGTCTTACTTTCTCAACAATATAATATAACAATTGATGGACAATTCATAGATTGGCAAGTAGCACAAACTTATGGCAAAACAATAAATGCTATGAGTAGTACATGTCAAGCCATATCTTCTTCTCAAATTGTTGGTATTGTAGGACCAACATTGTCAAGAGAAACTCCTATTATTGCTGAATTTGGTGAAAGAATTGGTATACCT